TCTCACTTTGAATCTCTTTAGTTTAAAGTTATATATTTTTGAATTCTTCATATTTTACAAATGTTTCTGTGCACTTACTACCTAGAGCATCTGTACACTAATGCATACTATTAATTAGCCTTGGTTTTTGAAATAACTTTTCTGATATAGATTAAATTAGGTTTTAACCACTGCGATTGCAGAATTCAGTTCAACTGAGAGAAGGCAATAATCTAGAGAGTTTGCATTAATGTGAAAGAGAGTGGGATATGTTTTTTCAAATGGGATAACAATTGGGTATGGTTGCTCCATCTATGCAGGTATTTTGTGTTTTTATCAATGCCCTTGTGACACTAGTAGTGCATAGTTGGAATGAAAGGTAACTTGTCAGGGAATAGAAAGATGGATAGAAAACTCTTAATGCATACATCTTGTGCATAGTTTCTCATTGTATAGACTTTTGTATTTTTGTGAAGCCCAAATATTTATGAAAATAAGGACAAGTTTCATAGGTAGAATAATATGAAAATATCTACATTGTGAAGTATCTATGGAAAGTAAACAAGAAAATTAAATGAGTGCATAAAGAGATAGTTTCTTGTATGCATTCAATGTCCTTTGTGTATACAGATGTTCAAGTACTGCTATATTGTGTCCATGAGAATCTATATACAACTCAACTTCTTCAAAATTAACCTCTGCCTGTATAGATATCATATTTCTCAAAGGATCAGCTATTAGATTTTCTTAAATCCTCTTCAAATTAGCAACATAATTCAATCCAAACTGATTCTCACAAGTGGTGCTCATTGTATGTTTTGGTGTAACATATAAACTGTTTTAGCTTTTGTCTGGGAAATAATAATATACCAAGCCCTATTTATACATTGATTTTTCTATCTCTTTGTGGCCCAAACAAAATAAAATAGAGGAGAACAAGTGCTGCAAGGCTTAAGCTTCTGTTTGTTATTAGCAGACCCTTGCTACTTTATTTCAACTGATGAAAACAACAGGTGAAGATATGACTGACACTGAAGAAGGCTTCAAACATCAGCACTTTCAGTACAACCTTTTATACCCTTCATCTTATATACATTACACCTATGTGCCCTCTCTGCCCTTTTGAGATTTGTCAGTACACCTCAGCACTCCAGATCTCCTTGCCTTCAACAATGGTCACCTGTCCTACACAGCTGTAGCCCACTGGGGATGAGGATCGGCCCCAACTCCACTCCCAATTACAACAAACTGTGCCTGCAAGGAACAAAAAGGCTGACTGTACTATGTATACAACCAACAACTCCTCACTGACACCGTACTGAAGAAGAAAGGAGAGACAATTTCAGTCATCATGTTAATAAACCCTCTATGTGTACCATAAGTTCTCATTGAAATATTTCTTAGGAATTTGAATGGAGATGTAACTAAGCAAACAAGTATCATGATTCTTCTTGCAGTAGGTTGGACCAAAGAAAATTCAACACTGCTTGTGGTCCGCAGCTGAAACTGAGGTGAAGGAAGGTGAAGTACTGCTCAATCAACCCTATGATACCCAGTGACTACCCTCTGTTTTGATCTCAGATCCATATATGCCCTTCTGCAAGTCCTGAACCTGACTGTTGTGGCATAAAAAAAAAACCAAAAAAACCACAGAACAGGATGACATCCATAAACCAACTCTAGGGCAAAATAAATGTCATCAGGAAAAAGAATCAAGACCATCATATTCATAAGCAAAGAGTCTGCACATCACTTTTCTTATTCATTGCTCGGTAATGACAACTTCAAAAGATTATATTTCCATTTACTTTGACAACAAACACATTCAATCTATAGTTATTGAAGCTGGTTATTTCAATATCAATTTATTAGCAGCATTAACATGAATGCTGGGTGTTTTTAAATGCAAAACAATGTCTTTGTCACTAATTTTAGAACTAATTTTAATTCGAACTTGACATTAATATAAACATGACAATGCCACTTTGCCACTGTGTATTGCCATCATGTATTTTTATTTTCTCATGGGAACTGACAGAATATGATTCATAATGACAATATTAATATAAGCCTATGAATAACAGTAAGAATTTATAATAATATTAACATACATTACATCATCTGTATTGAATCTGTCAACATGAATATCTTAGATTTTTTCCCCAATGTGGTATACTTTTTCATGTGTCTATAAATGTCTTCATTAATATACATTTATGATTACTCTTAAGCTTATGCATAGTCTCTTTTATTATGCAAATAAGGGTTATAACACTCAAAGAGGGAAACTCTCCATATATCACTTTTATCTTTAGTAAGTCCTGTAAAAAGGAAGTAGGTTAAAAACTCATCCTCATTAATTAAAATTGGTTTACATTCTTGAACTAAAAATGTTCATAGTAAAGGCTATCTATGAAACTATTGCATAGCTTTTGTATATGAAATCTTTCAGAAGAAAAACTATGCAAAAAAATTTATTTTTCAGTACTGACAAAAAGAATGATGAAAAGGAAGATATTTACAGCTTGTAGTGAAAGTTTTATCTCTACATACATCCAGGTGCAATTGGGGACAATAAGACAGTCACAAAGGCAGTTCTAAATGATGCATAGTTGTTTGAGGGCATATGGTACATTTCACTTTTAACTGAGATTTTTTTCTACCCTTTTAGTGTTTTATGTTAGAATCTTAACAAGATTTGTTAGTCCAGCTTGTTTTCTTTAAAGTACAGTTGCTAAAAAAATCCAAGGAGGAAAACTAGTGTCACAGCCATCTGTGAAAAGAGACAGAGCAATAAATGTGTTGAATTGTGGTGAGATCTACACCAGTAACAATGAAGGTCTCTGGGGAAATCTTCACATGCTGTTGATCTTCTAGTGAACTGGACCATCAAACACATCACTAACATTACAAGGAAATAAAACCTTTTTCCTCCATCTTCCTTCATTGTCTTTAAGAAGAAAAACCCATCTGTAGAGATTAGTAATTAAACTATCTCAAAATGAAAGTGTGAGTGATATCTTTTAGCCCCAAAGAGTTTAGAAGTTATCCTTCTGTTCTTGTGAGAGAGCAATTAGATTAAGTAGTCTCTGTTGTCCATATTGAGAAAAATGCTACCTGGAAGTGAAGACTTTGATTCAAAGAGATTTTTTTTAGAATGTCTGTAGGCAACTCATGTGTTCATATTGAAGCTTCAGCTCAGGAGCTTTCCTGAATGGTGAGGTGATTGTTAAAATCCACACAGCCATGCCTAATGCAAAATTTCTGAGGCTCAATACTGTACTTCTTTCTCTAGCCAGTGTCATCATTCATTAGCAGATACAACTTGTCACGTATGATTAAAAATGCATTAATTAAAATTGTTGTGTCAGAAGGTTAACTATATGATTTATGCTATTTGATTATAAGTGTCTTTAGAGAGATGTTAGCCTGGATTCTTATTTACGCCATAAGATATATTCCCTTTTAACTCTGAAAGATGAGTTTCACCAAGGGAAAGGAGAAAGGATATGTTAAGAGAATACAGCTTTTACTCTGAAGTGGCTTCAAGAACCCTTTTACAGGTAAGTTTGTGTTGGGGTAGGCAGAGGGAACCTTGCTCTGGGAAGTGGCCTGGCAGCCACTGTTGCACATAGGGTACAGGGAGAGATCTTGCTGCTTCTGGAGGGGGCTCCCCAGACATGCAGTGCAGCATTCTCAGTCACGGGGCAGCACAACCTGTG